GCCAGCGTGTTTCCCAAAACCGAGCCCCCCAACTCAATCACATGCCTCTCTTTTATCCACTTTTCAGGGTGGGAGTGTACATGAGGGTCATAAGACAGAGAGTGAGGGTCATAAAATAAAGAATGAGACAGGACATCATAGATTACAGTCTAGGCCCCAAGTATGTCAGGGGAGAAACACGCAGACAATAGAAACGCCTGCGGCTTGGCTGAGGCCTACACAGGGTGGCTGGGATAAACTCTTTTTTGAACTGCTTTTTACTTTTCTCACCTTAGTAGTTCACTGAAAATGGTGGCAATTGTACCTTAAAATTATTTCATTGGCTAGTCAGACATCTCCTTGGCATAGTTTGGGTATGGGCCAATGTGAATTCCATGCTATGGGCTGAGTTCTGTGTGTGCATACATCCCCAGCATATAGGATGGCCACGGAGCCTTATGTTCTTGGGCAAGTGAGCAGCTCTGCAAAGTGGGTACTGTCTCTACTTTATAGATGAGCACACTGAGGAGCATAACCAGAAAAATAGCCTCATGTGCACACAGCTAGCAACTGGCAATTTGAAGATACAAACTCAGATCTCCATCATTACCAGACTAATGGACTGGATGGCTTCTAGGTGATGGGTCTGCCAGAGAGCCTGGTGCAGCCTTGTCTCCAAAATCTACACCACTCGGGCTCCTTGACAAGCAGTGCCCACTCACCCACTCTATTTAACCTGGCTGGAATCATCCCGTTTCCTGGGGCTGCCCTCTTTATTCCTGGACCTCTCTAGATGTCAAACACCTTGACCTTAGTATAGTTCTAGTTGTTAATCTTAGTATAGTTCTGGTTGTTAATGGTCCAACATTCCTGACCCCTCTGGGAAATGACACTGGAAGACAGGAATTGGAGGAATGTCTGCCGGAGTCACATTCCCTGGTGCCTCCTAGTAAAGAGGACACTAGGTAAAGGTGTGGACTCCATTTCTGCTTTCCCAGAGGCAGCTACCCTCATGCTGAGGTGCCCGGCTCTCTTCTCTGACTCTGCACTCCCACTCACCCTGCTTGCCCCCAAGTCTGGTGCTCTCTCCCACCTGCTGCTCAAACCCTCTTTATGTGATTCTTCTGAAGGGGCAAGTGTCAGCAGGAGAGAGCAGAGAACAGGAGCAGCCCCAGGAAAGTGGCAGACATCCCTGCCATAGGTTAACCCTGCAAGTCAGGCCATTGCCCTGCTCTCCTTTCCCAGAGTCCCCTGGGAGCTCTTAGGAAGTCAGTTCCAGGTCCATGGGTGAGACATTTGCTGCTATTGGGAGACGAGGCAAATCTAACTGCAAAGCTTCAGCGGATGACTGGGCTGTGGAGGATGGTTAATCACTCATGACCCACACAGTAAAGTAGCCTCACCAAACATCAGCAGTTGAGTCGGGCTTGGCTTGCTCAGCAGTGCCCCAGGTGGTGAGGATGGGCACGCAGGCAGGTTGGCATGTTGTGGTCAGACCATAGTCACCAAGTAATCAGAAAGCAGAATACCAGAAGTGCTGCCCTTTTCTTGGTTTTTACGCAAAAAGAAAGCCAGTGACGAAAAGGGAAACTACTAGCAATTTAGTAGCAGAATAAGATAAATTTAATAAAATGCATAATAATAAAGTAATTTAGTAGCAAAATAAAAGGATGCCCCCAGATCCCAGAGTGGAGGTGAGGCATGATATAGTTCAGCCCCACCTCCCAAGCCTGCACTGGTCAGTGGAGCCACCTTCTGTGACAGATGTGCTCTGTACCTTCACTGCAGCACAGTGGCCGTCAGCCCATGTGATGATCAAGCACTTGAAGTGTGGCTAGTGCTACTACAGAGCCTCAAATTCTTAGTGTCATCCACCTGATGAATTGAAGCTTAAGTAGTCACATGGGCAGTTCTAAGCTGAAGGTCCCTCCAGTTCTCAGGAGCCTGTTCTCAGGTGGAGGCTGATGAGAGGGACTGTCAGGGCCTGTGTAATCAGGAGAGCAGTCCCTCTCACCGGGCTGGCCTAGCAAGACAGGAGATGGGGCCCTCTGAGAAAGACAGGCTGTAGGGCTTCTTGGACTGTAGGGATTCTGTAGGTATCCATTGCCCCCTCAGCCAGACAGTCTAAGCCAGCAAGGGATCTGCTCCCCTGGCAATCCTGCAAGAGGGAAGTAATTGAAAACTATCACTTAGTTTGGCTATACAGTAATTGAAACACAGTCTAAGGCAATTTGATTTGTGACAGAGAAATACGGTAGATTCTGTCTGTAGAAACCAAGCTACTTGGACTTCCCTGCGACCATGCCCAGAGAGCTGTGGGCTCTTAGACTGCATTGCTAGGGCTGCCCCATCATCGACCTCATTTGTATTCACCACTTTACCCTTACGTGGTTCGGAAGTGCAGTCTTGCGTATGTCCTCCCTTGGCAGCATTTGAGGCAGAAAGGAACCTAATCCCAAGGCACATAATGTAGACATTTATCCAGCAGAGGCTGGGTGCACAGCAGGTGCCCACCCCCAGAAGGACTAACAAGTTGGCAGGTTGGTGTGTGTGGTAGAGAGGGTTAGCTTGGCCGACCTCTGGCTCAGGGACAGAAACTGAGCGGGGTGTGGGGGTGTCACCATAGCTAGTAGAAAGCTCCCGTGGAAAGGGAGGAGGAAGGTCCTGCGGGCAGTGAGTTTATCTGGCATCTTTCTCAGATAACTGCTGCCACCGCAAGGAAAGGAAATGGCTATTGGTGGAGATAGGCGCCCTCTAGTGGTCTTGTTTGCCTGTCATTCTCAAACTTTATCCCTTGCCATCCTCAGAACTGCCAGAACATTTTCTACTGCATTCCACAGTAAGAAATACAATTCACACGGCTACTCAGAGTGCATGTATGTACATAAGGTACAAGGATCCTCATGAATGCCTATCCTCCCAACATGCACTGTACTCTTACATTCAATAGTTTCTATTTTACTCCATTTCTTTTAATGGTGATCCTAACCTACTAAATTGATTCATAGCCCACTAAATGGGTCATGACCTACAGTCTGAAGATCCATCAAAAAGGATTTCTCTGCCGTAGTTATTACCTTTGAGACTGCATCACCCTCCCGTCCACGCTCCTACCCTCAGCCAGGACCAGCAAGAGCCTAGGAAGCCACTGTATGGGCTGTCTGCTGTAATCAGGAGTTGTCCATCTTCACGGTGAGCAGAGAGGAGGGCGATGGAGGAAAAGAGGGAATAATAGGTTAGGACACCTTTTTTCATAAATGCAGGAAATTTGGGAGAACTAACTTCTGTTTTCAGAGTTTCCCTCATCCTACGTTCTTTCTTTATCTCATTTATGGTATTTACACTTTTGACAAGGATGAAAGCAAAGGAAATGAGGCAGGCGTGGACCTTGGTCCTGTGCTCTGCCCTGGACCACAGCTGCTCACTGTCAAGTGGGTGGTTGACTAGATAGTCTGAAGCTGCTTCTCACACTAACATTCTGTGACTCTGCCTGTCCCAGGGTGAGGGCTCAGGGTCTGGAAGCCAGTGTTTGGAAGAGCAACAGGAAGGAGGTATGAGGCAGGGTCTGGAGCCAGGGAGAAAAAGAAGCCCGAAGTGATGAGGCCTGCCCTTGGCAGCAGCAGGTACTACAGGACATGGCCTTGGTGCACCTTCCTTGGAAAGAGTGGAGAAGGCCCAGGGCAGGGAGCTGCTGAACCGAGCAAACCCACCTCTTTCCCAGCCAGTGGGCTCTATAAAATGCCTCCTCCAACTTCTTCAAAGCTTACAGCCTTTTCAAGCTGGCTGAACCTAGAACCCATCTTTTTCCCTCGCCATTTCCCTTATTTATTTGTTTTTTATTCCTTTTCCTATTTAGAAAAGAGAAAACTGGTCTCAGAGGAGAAAGGGGCTCAGGCTGAGGCTGGAACCATTATGGAGTGACCCCACCTGTGATCCTACTACCCCGCTTACCCTCAGGGCCTATAGTGACCCCCAGATAGTGGGAGCCCCACTGCTCAGGGTTGATGGCAGTCAGTCCTTAGGAGTGCAGGCTGTTTCTGAAGCTCTCTGCTTATCACAGGCTTACTTAGCTGAGTGCAGGCACCTGGGCACTGGTGGTTTCTGATGATCCGAGTAGACCCAGGGGTTGCTCCAGACTCCAGCACCTGCCCCTCAGGGTATCTGTTTTTGGCTCTAGCCCTGTCTCAGAGGAACTGCCTGGGCCTCTGCGTCCCCATCAGTGAAGTGCAGGGACTGCAATCTGCCTGTATGTTCTAAGGATCAGTAATGCAGTAGGTATTAAAAATCTCAGTCAAGCATGGTGTGGTGGCTCACCCCTATAATCCCAGCACTTGTGAGGCTGAGGCAGGTGGATTGCCTGAGCTCAGGAGTTCAAGATCAACCTGAGCAAGTGCAAGACCCTGTCTCTAAAAAAAAAAAGAAAGGAAGGAAGAAAGAAAAGAAAATATTCTCAATCAAATAAATATAGAAACACTGGAGTTAAAATTTGATGTCCTTACTGCAAGGCTTCTTGGAGCCCCTAATCTATTGTTTAAATACACCATGGCTTTCTAAGGAAAGGAGACAGTGTGTACTGCTCACAGCTCACACTGCCATGCCGGTCCCACTGCTGGCTCACTCACAGCTGATGGTGGTTGCCATGGGAAGAGGAGATGAGTCAGGCCCTCACCCTTTTATGTGTGGCCCTGTCCCGTCCACTCCCCCTTGGCCACATGGCTGGGACTTAGGCCCAGGGGCATTAGCTCTTCTGACATAGAACAGGAGGGTCAGTTTGTGTTTATGCTCACCCCTCCCTCCACCCCGCAGGAGGAAGCTGGGAAAATCACCACAGCCCCATTGTCTTTCCCCCTTCTGCCTGGGTGGCCCCAGCCCCCATGGTCCTCCCTCCACTCACAGAGACTGTGTTTAAGGATTCCCCTTCATTCTGGGTTTGACTGTATGACCCCAGACTGCGGACCCCAGGTTGTGGGGCTTTGCGTGCTGATAGCTAAACAGCTGTGATCTCATTTGTGACATTTCAGGGATACCACGTCAAACTCATTAACTCCTGAGGACACTGAAGACATGCCTGTGGGGCAGGATGCAGAAATCTGCTTGTTGAAGTCTGGAGAACTGATGTGAGTGGCAGCTGCCAAGTGGGTCTTTCTCAGGTGTGGTATTGGGGAGGTGCCGGAGCTGGGGACCACCCTGGGGGCTTTCATTTGGCACCAATGGGGGTGCTTTTTGAGCGGTATAATTTATACGCACTAAGAGTTAAGAAAATAGATAGTGCTTAAACTTTGATAAATGATATAGTACAATCCCCAACACAATTAAGATAAAGACTAATTCTGTCACTCTGGAAAGTTGCCTACTCCTTTATCCCTCTGCCACCCCATGTTCTTCTTTTTTGAAAATAACTTTTTAATTTTCTCATTGTACAAGCAATACCTTTTTCTTGTAGAAAATTAGGAAAATAGAGATAAGCAAACCATCTTGGTATATAGTCTATGGCCTTCTAAATTTTTTTTTTTAATAGAGACAGTGTCTTGCTCTGTCATTCAGCCTAGTGTACAGTGGCACAGTCATGGCTCACTGCAGCTTCAAACTCCTGGCCTCAAGTGATCCTCCTGCCTCAGCCTCCCAAAGTGCTGGGATTACAGGACTGAGACATTGCATCTGACCTAGTCTTCCAATCTTTTTTATACACATATATAGGTATAATTTTTTGACATAAACCAATGCTCCAATTTTATTTTGTAGATTTTTTAACTTACTATAGTATGAGTATTTTCCCATATCATCCAGTGTTATGTGCAACGGCTATGTAATTATCACTGAATAGATTCAGCTATTGATTCACAGATATTCATTCGTCATCTACAACATGCCAGGTACGTTTTTTGTGCCTAGAGCATATCAGTGAACAAAATCAACAAAGACCCTGACTAGTTTATATTCATTCCAGCAAGGGTTGACAGACAATCATACAGTAAACACAGGTAAGTAAGTAAATATTAGTGTGTTACAAAGTGGTGCTTGCAATGGAAAAAAGTAAACAAAGAGTAAGATAAAAGAGGAGGGGGATTTTCCCTTTTAAATAGAGTAACCCTAAGAAGGTAAGGCTTGAAGGAGGTAATGGAGTTGCCAGGCATGTGTCTGTGGGATGAGCATTTCAGGCAGAGGCCACAGTCAGTACAAAGGCCCTGAGACAGGATGACAGCTGGCATGTTCAAGGACAGAGGAAAGGGGCCAGTGTACCTGAAGCAGAGAGAGCAAGGGGGACAGAGTCAAAGAGGGAAGGGGGTCTGCATCACATAGGGCATTGCTGGCCATTGGAAGGACTTTGGCTTCCAATCTCAGGGAAGCAGGCCCCCAAAACTGAGTTTATAGCAGAAGAGTGACTTACCGAAATCTGATTTACATTTGAGAAGGGATCACTCTGGTTGCCCTGAGGAGAATAGATGGTGGAGGGACAAGGGCAAAAGTGAGGAGACCAGTTAGAAAAGTGTTTTAGGGACCATGGTTCCTTGGACCAGGTGGTGGCAGAGAGGGCAGAGATGAGGACAGATTCTAGATTTTGATGCTAACAGAATTTCCTTAAGGGTTAGATATGGTTATGAGAGAGTACGTCGTGTATTAAACCTGTTCTTGGTGATCCTTGGATCATACTTGGACAAACACAGTCCCAAGTTATGGGGCAGAGCAAACAGGAAGCAGTAAAGAGCTGCTCTCTCCCAGGCTTTGATGCCAGGGCACTGCCAAGTGTCTGGGCCGCCTTCCTGGAGAACACCTTGGCTGCAGGAAGTACCAAATGTTCAGGTATTCTGTTTTCCCTTTAATTCAATAAGCCTGTGTCTGGGAATTTATTCTAAGTAATAATTAGATGTGTAACGATAAAGTTTCTGGAATGTTCCTTGTATGCTGCTCAGAGCAGTGACATTTAGCAACAGTAAAAGAGAACTTGGGTAATCGTGAATGGGTATTGAATTTTTGTCAAGTGCTATTTTTGCATCAATTGGTAAGATCCTAGGCCAGTGGTTCTCAACCTTCCTAATGCTGCGATGTATTTTCACTGTCACAGAGGAGTCACCACCCACAGGTTGAGAACTGCTGTCTTAGGCTTTTTCTGCCTTTCCGTGTTGACGTGGTGATTACAAACATCAGTCCTTCACGGTTGCACCTGGCTAGATCCCACTGGCCGTGGTGGATGATTCTTTCCATGCAGTGCTGGATTTCACAAAGTATCTGATGGGTATCTTGCCAGCTACAGAATCCACCTTGACAGTTCTTTTCTTTCAGCACTTGAAGTATGTGGTGCCACTTCCTTCTGGACTCTTTGGATTTAGATGAGAAATCCCCTGTCATTCAAATTTGTGTTTCCACAGATGACATATCTTTTCTTTCTGCTTTAAAGAATTTTTCTTTGCCATTTGTTTTCAGAAGTTTAATTATAATAGATCATGGCATGAATTTCTTTGGATTTTTTTCTATTTGGGGTATGCTCAGTTCTTGAATCTGTAGGTTCATGTCTTTCACCAAATTTGAGTTGTTTTTAGCCATTATTTCTTTGATTTTTTTTTTTCAGATTACACTTTTTCCTTTGCATTTGAGAGGTCAATGGTACAAATGTTAAATCTCTGTTCCTCTCATATCTCTTTTCCCTGTGTCGTGCAGAATGAGGAATTTCTGTTTTTCTCTTTTCAGGTTTACCTGTCGTGTTCATTCATTCTGCTGTTGAGCTTATCTAATGAGTTTTTTTCAAATTTTACTTTGGTTATTATATTTTTTAGTTCTAAAATTTCCATTTGGTTATATACCTTTTGTTTCTTTGGTGTGATTATTTTTCCATTTTCATTGTTTCAAGAATATTTAAAATTCTTATTAAAGTATTTATATCATGGCTGCTTTAAAAGCCTTGATAGATGATTCTCATACCTGATTGGTGTCAGTGTTGACTTCTGTTGATTGTCTTCCCTCATTCAGGTCGTGATTTTCTTGGTTCTGAGTAGGATGAGTGGTTTTTGACTATGTGTAGGTGGCAGCTGAGAGATCCCAAGCTATTGTGATTTTCCGCAAGTCCCAGGGTACCCGGCCAACCTGACTTCCTATGACTACCCTTAGTTGTCTGCTGAATTATTTTCAAGTTCTTCCATTGTACTTAGTGGGAAAGAGTAGGGAGATGTTTGAAATTGTTCATAATAAAACTTTTTATTTGTATTTGTTTGTTTTTTAAAGACAAAGTCTTACTTTGTCACTCTCTGTAGACTGCTGTGGCATCATTGCTCAGAGTAACCTCAAACTCAAGGGTTCAAGCAATCCTCTTGCCTCAGCCTCCTGAGTAGCTGAGATTACAGGTGCCCACCATGACACCTAGGTAGTTTTTTAGTACAAACAGATTTCACTCTTGCTCAGGCTGGTCTGGAACTCCGGAGCTCAGACAGTCTACCCACCTTGGCCTCCCAGAGTGCTAGGATTGTAGCCAGAGCACCCAGCCCATAATAAAACTTTTAAAAAACTTATCAAGTAGCCAGGCGTTGTGGCGGGTGCCTGTAGTCCCAGCTACATGGGAGGCTGAGGCAAGAGAATCACCTAAGCCCAAGAGCTGGAGGTTGCTATGAGCTGTGATGCCACAGCACTCTACCAAGGGCAACAAAAAAACAACTTTTCAAGTAAAGGGATAAGAAATATCATGAAATTAAGAAATAATTAGAACACACAGACTCCTAGGCAGGTCCCTAAAGAGAATAGTATAAAATCAACACAAAGAATAGGTTGGTGGACATGTGAGTAAAAGACAAGGAGATTGACAGTAACTTGAAATTTACTTTGTTCTGCCCCTTTTGAAGAGAGTGACAGCAAGCTAAGGTTTGGCAACCACACTGCAAGAGAGTCTGAAAACACATAGGTGGTTGGGATTATCTCAGAATATGGAGCATTTTTTAGTACTCCCTAGCTCGTGTAAACTAGAATTTCTGGGGTTACCTGACAAAATTTACATTTGTGACATGAGTCTTGTAGACAATGGGCTTTTTTTATTTAAGATTATTTGCACATAGATGTGAAATCCTCGATTTGTTCTTTTCCTTTGGAGAGACTGATCATTGTCCTCACTGAGTAGATAAGGGCCAGAATGGGAGGAGACTTCAGGCCCGGCATAAATAACTGCATGCCAGGGGAGAATCACACCATGCCCCGGCCTCCGTCGGGCATTCCATCAGAGCAAGTGACTTTCTGTGTAATAATACAGTAAGATTTCCACACATTGGATCCTTTTTATCCAAGAAAGGTATCTTTCCAAAATGGACCCCCACACCTACCCTCAGATTCTTGAAAATTGTAAATATTGGGCAAGAGTTTATTAAAAATACAGTTTAGCACCTGGAGAAGCACTGCATTGAATTCATTTCTTACAGAGGTGAATATTGGAGCTTTTCTTTAGAGCATTTTTGGTCTTTTAAACCATTGGTAACTCTTCTCACTTTGAGAAGAACTTCCATACATCTCCACAGCTTTGGAGGCAGATAGAACTCTGAGCAACACCACTTCCTTGCTGTGCAGACTTGGGCAAGTTACCTAACTTCTGTGAACTTCAGTTTCATCCCTATGTTAAAGGGGACAGTAATATATTTTCTCCACAAAAAGGAAGTTTGGTGAAATGGAAAGATAATGGCTTTGGATTAGACTTGTGTGAACCTGAATTAAGTTTCTGAATCTCTTTGAGTCTTAGTTTCCTTCTTTGTAGAATAGGAACAATGTACCTTCCTCACCTAGCCGTTGTGATAACACATGAAGTTGCTGAGCCAAGAGCCTGGCCCGTAGTGGCTGCCACCTTCCATTTCGCAGTTGAGAAACTAAGATAGGAGTGAGTGACTCGCCACAGCTACACCCCTCCTGAGATATAGCTCTGCCCTGTCCCTACGACCCTAAGCTAACCTCGCTGCCTCTGAGTCACACAGTGCAAGAGGGATGCCACTTAGCCTGGGTTGGGCCTTTGAGATTTCCTTGTTCATGTCAAAATCAAGTTCATCTTCTAGTCTAATCCTCATAGCAGTCATGAGGTGGGCATGGTTGTCCCTGTTTTACAGATGAGGAAACTGAGGCTTATGAGAGGGTGAGCCCTGCACAAGATACGGAGTGAGGCAGGTCTCTGGACTCCTCCCCTCACATCTTCACACCACACTCCAGGAGCTGCAGAAGAGCTCACTGTCTATAAAACCTGGAAACTTGTGGAAGAGGCTTTTATCCACCTAGTGAGAGTTAGAACAGCAGACACAGCCCCAAGAATCTTCTCTCCCCAAACCATCATACCACCTCTATCACTCATGTATAGGAAAGAGTCTGGGATTTTGGCATTGAGAAAAGTCAGAGGGCCCATGTAGAGCTAATTAGATGAAAAGGGAACGTGGGGAACCAGAGGAGGAAGGGAAGAGAGAACATGGACAGGTAAGCAACAGGGCAGCTTCAGGAGAGCAACAGAGAGCTGAGCCTCACACACAGAGCAGGCCAGGCCAGGGGCTTTCAGCTCCACAGAGGCAAGGATTGTCATATATATATTTTTTACTGCTGTGTCCCTGGTACCTAGAACCATGCTAGGCATGTAGTAAGTGCTCAGGAAACTTGTTGATGAGAGTTGTCCTGCCAAGAGCTTAAGAGGCCTCCGGCCACCTCTGAGCCACAGATGACCTAGCCGGTAAATACAGACACTCTTCCCAGTCAGTCAGTCCCCTCTGCATTTTTTTTTTTTTAGGATCAAATTACCCCTCACAGTGGAAGAGATCGCCAACTTTGGGGAGGGCAACAGGGAGCTGTTTGTGAGGTCCAGCACCTACAGCCTGATCCCTATCACCGTGGCCGAGGCAGGCCTCACCATCAGCTGGGTCTTCTCCTCCGACCCCAAGAGCATCTCCTTCAGTGTGGTCTTCAAGGAGGCTGAGGACACGCCGCTGGATCAGTGCAAGGTGAGGCCAGGCTCCCTGCCTGTGGGCTTCTTACACACACATCAGGATGCTCGGGTAGGCCTCCCCCAGAGCTGGGAGGTGGCCATCTGCCCTCTGCTGGGCAGGTCACACCTAGAATCTTCTGAGCTGTGTCATTCAAAGCAGGCAAAGCACCGAGGGCTCATCCAGCTTGGGGAAAGCAAGACCCAGAAGGTCAGGAGCTCTGTCTTCAAATGCCTAGGGTCACTCCTGTGTCAGGCAAGCGCAGTCTGTTCCCAGGATAGATTAGTGGGTGAAACTTAGAGGAACACAGATGTGTCACTTAGTTTAGGATCATTTTCAGAGACCTGTGCAAGTAGGAATGTATCAGCTTGGGAGGTCGTGACCTCTTTGGCTCTGGTTATTAGCTTATGGTGTTCAGCTTCTCACAAAATACCAAAAGAGACAATTCTGGTGTCACTTCAGCTTCAAATCTTGGTGGCAGATACTAGTTCTCCTAAGACATTGTGGGCATGGCATGCTGACAGCACCTGGACTGTAGTTCTCAATCTTGGTACACATTAGAAACTAGGTACCTACAGAGCTTTTAGAAATCCCATTCCTAAGGCTACCCCTGACCAATCAGAGTCTCTAGAGGTAGGACCCAAGCATCCCTAATTGATTCCAGTGAGCAGCCAAGGTTGAGAACCACTGAGCCAGAGTAGAAGGATGGAGTGGAGCCTGAGCACAAGGACCAAAGGTTGATGGGGCCCCATGCGTGGCTGACTCAGTACGGGACAAGGAGGAGGAAGCCCCTACCCGGGGTCTGAACTCTGCCTGCTTCTCTGTAGGGGGAAGGTGCAGAGGAATAATGGAGGGAGAGCTGGCTGGAATGGAAACACAAGTGCCACTTGAATGGTTCCAAGTGGAAGGAATAGTGAGGGCAGTCAGACTACGGGATGGGAGCGGGAGGAAGAGCCAAGGCTAGGAATGCAGCTGAAGAAATCTCCACTTTGCAAGAATGGCAAGGCTCAAGACAGAGAAGAGCAATCTCATGGCTGGGCAGTCACATCCACTAGTCCAGCATGTATCTGGGCCACTGGGTGCCGCTGATGCGTGTGTGAGGAGGCACAGTGGGCCACACAGCCCTGCTTGGCAACCCCATAGAGGAACGGACACCCCTGGGGATAGTTTCCCGCCACCCTGCGCTGTTAGATCTGCTTACTGTAAAGAGATTGCTCTGTCATTGTTCTTCTTTTCAAACTCACTCTTAAATGTAGTTTTTCCCATGAAAATAAACCAGCTGGCCTGGTTTATTGGGGTCTCATGTTCTTACTTAAAACTATTCTTCTCTGCCCTCTTTCCTTTTGGGGCTTACAGCCAGTGCCCCACAACTGGGTCAGGGGCCCTTCCTTCTTGAGCAGTTCTGAGCCTGCACCCAGGAGGCCCTGGCACTTGTGGTCTGAGACTCAGCCACGTGACCCGTCTGAGAAGGTGGGTTTGGATTCAGTCCCTGCTGACTGCACAGGGAGGGTATTGTTTTCACTCTCCGAGGCAAGTGTTAGCCCCACTTTACAACTGAGAAAACGGAGACCCAGTAGTCACATGGCAGTTTGGCCAATACTAGAAACTCCCACAGTGCCTTTGCCGCTGTCCTTCACCATCCCCAGGCCTACAAATTGCCTCACATGGAGTCAGCCCAAGTGAGACACTGGTGAATGTCTGTGACAGGGAAAGAGGGAGGTGATGAAATCAGGGGTCCAAGCTTTGCTGCTCCAGCCCCCCACATGTGGCTATGGGCCCCTCCTCTTTCCCAGTCACTCACCCGCCAAGTCCACTTGAGCCTGGGATTCCCATGTGGTTCTAGCAAGAATCAGGAACCTGGGGGAGCCTTCCTCCTGTTTGCTTTCCAAGGGGCCCTCTAGAGTTTGTAACTACAACTGTCTTTCCTGCCATGGGCACCAGGGGGCAGGAGGGGCCCATGTCAGAAGTGCTCAGGTGCTCCTTGCGCTTCACCAGCCCACTGTCACCAGCCAGTGATGGGGAGGAAGGCTGTTATCTCTGCCTGAGGTACCTGAGCCTGTTTCCAGGCACACGTTGTCTTCATCCATCCCAAGTACTGTGCTCCCTGGACCAGCCAGAGCCTCACAGAAAATGATGGGTGCAATGCACACTGCAGCACTTGGGGTTCATGACTGCGGAGGCGTAAACACAAGGGGCTGTGCTGCGTACTACCATCTTGACAGCCATTTGCCGACCTGCTGTGTGTGGGCTCTGTGGGGCCTGCTGGGGAGTGAGATGAAGGGACATGGGATCCACCTTTGAGGAGCTTGCAGTGTTGGAGAAAGATCTGAGTAGACAGACCCCTGTAACTCCAGGTGGCATGTGTCATGACAAGGAGGAGAGAGCACTGTGGGTGCACTTGGGAAGGATAGTGATTGGGGAAGAATACCTTGGGCCAGTAATGAAGCCCACATTGGAAGGAGCATGGGGAAGCAGTCGTGAGGTGAGGTGGTCAGAGGAGAAACAAGCAGGCAGGCAGAGCTGCCCAGCAGCAGGCCAGCTCCATCACTCGGGCACCTGCACTCTGCACCACCTTCTGTCCAGAGCTGCTTCCTCCATAGGGTCATAGACTCACCCGGGGGAGGTACTGAAACAAACAATAAACTAAGGACTCCAGGCCACCTGTGTACAGACTCCTGGCCTGAAACCTGGGGATAAATCAGAGAATCGGACCTAGGCCCTGCCTTCTCTGTGCACAGGAGCCATCTTTGGTTAGAGAAGCTCACACAGGAGAAACCAGGACCAAGAGCAAGGTGTACAGGGCAGGCATACGGGTAGCGTGTGTTTTTCTCCAGCAGCTCTTCCTGTACACCCTTGCTGCAGAGGCCAATGCCAGGCTCAGAATTGTTAGGTTAGGGACCATAGAAACAGACCCAACTCTTTTTTTCTTTTTAAATCATAGCTGTGTACATTAATGTAATTATGGGGTACAGTGCGTTAGTTTTATATACCATCTGAAATATTTTCATCAAACTGGTTAACATAGCCTTCATGTCATTTTCTTAGTTATTCTGTTAAGACATTTATACTCTACACTTAATAAATTTAATATGTCCCCTTGTAAGATGCACCCACCAAGGAGCACCTGAGCACCTCTGACACGGGCCCCTTCTGCCCCCTGGTGTCCATGGCGGGAAAGGCAGTTGTAGTTACAAACTCAATTTAATATGTCCCCTTGTAAGTTGCTCTCCCCCCCTCCTCCCCTCCCCTCCCTCTCTTTCCCCTTCATTTTGGGCTATAGTTGGGTTATAGCTTTCATATGAAAGCTATAAATTGGTTTCATAGTAGGGCTGAGTACATTGGATACTTTTTCTTCCATTCTTGAGATACTTTGCTAAGAAGAATATGTTCCAGCTCCATCCATGTAATCATGAAGGAGGTAAAGTCTCCATCTTTCTTAAGGCTGCATAATATTCCATGGTGTACATATACTGCAATTTATTGATTCATTCATGGGTCGATGCGCACTTGGGCTTCTTCCATGACTTAGCAATTATGAATTGGGCTGCAATAAACATTCTGGTACATATATCTTTGTTATAATGTGATTTTTGGTCTTCTGGATATATACCTAGTAGAGGAATTGTAGGATTGAATGGCAGGTCTATTTTTAGATCCCTAAGTGATCTCCAAACATCTTTCCAAAAGGAAGGTATTAGTTTGCATTCCCACCAGCAGTGCAGAAATGTTCCCTTTTCTCCACATCCACACCACCATCTCTGGTTTGGGAATTTTGTTTTGTGGGCTATCTTACTGGGGTTAGATGATATCTCAAAGTGGTTTCGATTCGCATTTCTCTGATGATTAAGGATGATGAGCATTTTTTCATGTGTCAACAGACCCAACTCTTCAGTCTCTCAGGATTCTTAGTCCCTGCCAGAATTAGAATGTTATAGAACATTAATGGAACTAAAAGAGATACTGTGTGCGCAAGAGGCTGCCACCAAACCCACACGTAGCAGGTCCTCAGCAGGGCTCTGCACATGTCTTTGGTATTGTCCTGCTCCTCCACGTCCCCAGCTTCCAGCCTCAGCAAAGGCACTGTCTGGTCAGGAGCACACTGCCCACTCTCCTTCCTGCACCTTCTGCCTTCAGGATTCCTCTCTTGAGTTCTCTTTGACCCATGCGTTTAAGTTTGTTATTTAGTTTCCAAATGTTTTGGGATTTGCCAGAGATCTGCTATTTACTTCTAATTTAATTCCATGTAGTCAGAGAGCATTCTTTGTATAACTTGAATCCTCTTAAGTTTGAGGGTTTGGGGAATTTTTTTTATAGCCTAGAATGTGTCCTCCCTGGTTAAATGTTCCAAACCTACTTGAAAAGGGTATGTGATGGGGAGTATCCTACAGGTGTCAGTTAGGTCAGATCACTTGACAGTGTTGGTGAACTCCTCTGTTTCCTCATTGAGTTCCTGTCCACTTATTCCATCAGTTACTGACAGAGCAGTATTAAAATCTCCAGCCATAATTGTGAAGTCTGTTTCTGCTTGTAATTCTACTTTTTGAAGCTCTGTCATTAGAAGCACAAATGTTTATAATTGTTCCATCCTTTCAATGGGTCATCATCTTTACCATTATGAAATTATCCTGGTAATGATCTTTGATATAAAATTTACTTTGATATTAGCACATTAACCGCCATGTGAATTATATTTAACTCATGCTAGTTTTGCGCCCAAGGCCTTGTGAAGTGTACATAATTCACACGTCCTCTTTACATGGGGAGCTGTGTGGTGCACAGGCAACTCAGGTGGATGCTGTTACATGACAGATGGCCCTCTAGGCAAAATTCTGCATTTGGTTCACGAAAATCTTTGTTGTTGATGTTCTTATTATTATAATTAATGTTGGCAACTTAATCCTAAAAACATGGATTAAATGAATAGAAGTCAACAGATTTCATTTTTCTACTTACGTTTACTTTTAAATTCCACTTAAGACTGACAAGTTCAGAAAAACATTTTACCAATATAAACTAATTTTCAAATTTTTATATGACCTTTTTATTGATGTATGTTTTTAGTAGAAGCATCCCACACAACAGTGCACGTTGCCTTTGCTGCGTTTCTGTGGTGTTTCCGTCTCCTCGTGGCACATCCACGTCCTTTCTCTGCTTGTGCTTTTCTGTAGCACACAGTGTGTCATCTTCCGGCAGAGCCCGTGTTCGTGAGAGAACAAGCCCCAGGTGGTGACCGGAGGGCCAGCACTGCCAGGGGGTTTCATCTGTCCAGAGCAGTTTTAGGCAACCTTGTTCTTTAAATTTTGTGATCAAGATCTTATTTTTGTTCAGGACTCTACACGTAGAGAACAAGCGAGTTCACTAAAGCTGATCCTGTGAGTAACTCCATTGTTAATATTCTGAACCACTTCATACCACGTCTCCAAGAACATGAATTTGACCTCAGTTGATCTGAGAGGTCAGTGAACACCTTGGATTATAGTCTACAATCGTGTAGTTGGTTTTCCTACAACACCTTTTCTTGCTTCACCATGCTTAGTACTTACATCAGTACCTCTCTCTCTCCTCCCATTTGAGGACAATGACAACTCCCATGTCACTTTCTCAAGCAGTTACCTCTTTCTTGTTCAGCTTCCCCTTTACTCCATCTGGTAGGTTCAGTCTCCTGTTCTTAGTGTGCCCGCTAAATACACAGAGTGCTCAAGGAGTGGATGAGCTCGGTGGATGCTGGTGTGGTGGCTGTCAGTGTGTAAAACACGGCCACCGTCTAGGAAACCTATTAGCTTTGACAGTAAGCTTCCACGTGACAGTTGTAGCCATCTTTTAGGCTTGTTTTTTTATGAACTGTGCAGAACTCCAACGTCCACGGAATGGCACCATTGTTTCATCAGTGTGTATTTCCTTCCCTGGAACTATGATAAACTGAAACCTTTCAAGAAGACAGTCAAGAAGCGGCTGGATCTTGAAGCGACGGTCACCAGGAGGACATTCTTCCTCATTAGAGAAATGCTACATTCTCAGAAGCATTTAGACTAAGTGACTGTGTAATAAACTTTTTCACTGAATTGTCATATAGAGCGTTTTCAACCAAAAGGTGTAGAAGTCTTGGCTTCTTGCTAAAACCGCGCTCCCCCAAGTCATTCCGTTTCTTGGGAAGTAATGCCGCTGACATTTTGAGACTATTTGTACGTAACAGTCTTCTTGCTGTTTGTTTTCTGTTTGTCCCATCTGGTTTTTGTTGCCTTTTCCTCTGAAAGTTAGGGCAGTCTCTCAGAGGTCACTGTCCTTCATTGCTTGGTGTCCAATCTTTTAAACCTGTCTTTTTGTCTGTTTTGTCTGGTTTTTGGCTATTTCTTGGGAGGTTAAATCCTGGCTGTTCTCCCTTGCCTTTGAATATGTTGCCCCACTGCCCGAACCATCAGACCTCCCTCTAACTGGCTAAATTGTCCAAGCTCGGCACCGCCTCTTCCAGGAAGGCCTTCCTGATGCTCAGCCTCCTCTCCCTCCCACCCATGGGCTGCTGTAGGCACCTCTTCATGGCTCTCCCCTCATGGTACATTCACGCCAGCATAACTGAATGTTTTCTTCTCGGCCATCTACACTAAGGACCAGAGCTCTTTGTGAGAATTTACTTCACTTTGGAAATTTTGTGGCCAGGACATAGGGTTTTAAGAAATACGTGGTTATATCCAAGTTTGAGTTGAAAAGTGATCACATCTTTGTAACTACTCTGGACTCATTCATTTGTGCAGGCTAACAAATGTTTAATAGGAAAAGATAAAAATCAAATTTAACAAAATTGTATTTCTAATAAAGGAGCAACACTGACTTTTGTAAAGAATTAAAATAGGTACTTTACCACATTAGGAGCTCAATATTGCTAAAATGTTACCGCTGTCCATAGAGCTCTCTGGTCTGTTAACCCTTTCATGTAGTCCTAAATGGAAGGCTTGGGGACACTTTATGACACAGATCTTCTTGGTACTTGGTACTGCTAAAGAAAAAAAAACCCTGGAATTTTGGTTGACTTTTGTCTTTTCCCCTGTCACATCTTCAGTTTTAAAATAAGGCCTATGTCTTTAGCTGGTGAGCAGGTTGAAGCTTCTGTCCCTGTGCAGAAGAGCTTGGCTATTCAGAGAGCATCCCAGCTCTGGCCCTGTCCAAAAGCCATTTTGGACACACCTGACACACCATTTTGCAGACTTGACCTCTAACAGCAAGGCCCTTAGAAAATAGCCTGAGAAAAATCAATGTATCCTGGGATGAATTTCTCATCTGAGAGAAGGCAGAGAGTAGGCGGGAGTCTAAGGCTCAGGCTTGGAAAAAGGATAGGGTCCTGGGGCAAACGGACCAGCCAGGGCCAGCCAGGAGTAGGGCTTGTGGCAAGGCCAAGGGAGAAGCCATGGTGGAGCTGAAGTGTTCATCCTGGAGGAGAGAGGACCAGCAGCTCCATGCCTGAAAGACTGTCATCTGTAAGAAGGGCCCAGCATGTTCTGTGATTCTTAGGAGTAGCACTAGGACCAACAGGACACAGCTGGACAGATGGGTCACACCTAGAATAAGCCCACTTCCTGAAGCCGGAGAGAGCTGCTCCTCTAGGTGGTGGTGCGTTCTGTGCATTCTAGCAGTGGCTACGGTCAAGGGAGGCAGGTGACTGCTCTCCAAGGAGGCTGACTAGCTCCTGATTCTGGATGAAGCTCAGACCCACAAGTTATCAGCAAACTGAAGGTGTGTGGATGGCACTCTGCCTCTCCTGGGGGCTGGTCCCAGCACAGTCCTTCTCAGCTGTGACCTCAGACAGAGTACTCAGGCTCCCTGGCCTCAGTCTCCTCCCCCAAAATAAAGGGTCTGCCTAGAGGATCCAGGAGCCTTCTCAGCCTCTGTGAGATTTTTGTCATCTTTTTTGCCTCCCAGGTCCTCATTCCCACGACCCGATGCAATTCCCACAAGGAGAACATCCAGGGCCAGCTCAAAGTCCGCACACCGGGCATCTACATGCTCATCTTCGACAACACCTTCTCAAGGTAGGGCCGCCATATTCACCAGCATCCAGGTGGGTCCGCCTGTCTCCCAGGCCTCTGCCACCCGCTCTCCAGAACAGTGATGGATATACAATACCAAGTACCTCATTGTCAATTTTTAATAATTGTTCTTGGATTGTAGACCCCTCTCCCATGGTGTTCCAGTGATTGTGATAGATTTTATGGCTCCTGCTGACATGGTGTCAGCACATGTGGGGCATGTTAGACACTCTGCCCTCTTGGCTCACTCAGGTTCCACAGCCTCCCCTGTAGGAGGGACTACTTTTCTTCTCACTCACTGATGGGGGGACCAGAGGGGCAGAGGAGTGACACGCCCAAGTGACACGGCTTGTGGGGAAGCCAGATTTGAAGCAGGTGGTGCTCTTTGCCTTCTCTGCTGCCAGATGTCTACTTCCTTATCTGAGAAGGACTGAGCAAATGAATGAATGAGAAAGGGAGAAGTGAAAGAAGGAAGGACAGAGCTTTGAGTTGAGCAGGGCCAAGACTGCTGGGTGAGGCCCTGGGGCTGTATCAAGAGAGCGGCATGTGCTATCTCTGAGAAGGACTCTGAGGATGGCAGCTTGCAGCTTGGGGGATCAGGGAGGAGTTTGGGGAAGAACATAGGAATGTTGGAGGAAGGCAGGGAGGGAGTGGGAGAAAGGATGGACCTTGATTGAGCATCTGCCATGAGGCTGAGGCCAGGATGGTGAAGACTTTTGGATACCTGTCCCTTTTCATGCTCTGGGCTTCAGCTTAAGCTCTTTCACTGGGGCTGCCTCTTTACAGAGACCTGCCTCATCTGTTTCAGCCACATCCTCCCTGAGCAGACCCCTGGGCTAATGGTCACATCCCTTGACATGGGCACTTGGCTTTTAGCAAAACCACTTGCCAGGGCATGTGGCTGAGAGCCACCTAGAAGAGGTTGGGGGATGAACTTTCGTCCTTGGCCCTTTCCTGCCCTCCCTGTACTCCCTGATGGAAATGAACACCCACCTCAAGTTAGCAGGACTTCATGGCCCAGTCCTGGCATGTCCAGAGAGCTATACTTAGAGCTCTCTGCAAGAGTGAGTGTGAGGCCCAGCCCCTCCTGGGTGGCAGGACAGGGCAGTGGTTAGGGAAGTGGGTTGGGACAGCTAGGCAGGATCTCTGCTTCTCCCTGATTCCGGATGAAGCTCAGACCCTCGAGTTATCAACAGAGTGTGTAGATGGCACCCTGCCTCTCCTGGGGGCTGGTCCCAGCTGGGCTGTGGGTGAGCCCTAGTGTGGACTGATGAGAACCCAAGTGTGGCGTAGTGAGGCAGAGTAAGCCCCAAACAGGTTCCTACTTATCACTGACAGTGACCATGGCCCTGTGACAAACTCTAGTCTTGGCCCATTGAGGCCATCTCAGGGCCTACTTGAGATTTTCAAACCATGGATGGCAAAACTGATTTAGATGCCCGTCAGAATGAAATCCGTGCTGGCCTGTGTCCTGTGCCTCCTCCCATCACTGGCTCCATCCATTCCACCCCACATACACACCATGCAGTCTGACAGCCAGCCCCTTTGGAGCAGCCAGGGACGCAGGCAGGAGGTTCACAGCCTGGGACTAAAAGGCATTCCTCTAGCCAAGCCCAGGAGGTCCAGAGTAGTGTTCCAAAATACTGACCCATGCAGGGAGAGAATCTGGTGGACAGACAGGAAATGGGGATGAGGGCTCTGGAGAGGCACACGCTCTGTGAGGTGCCCAGAACTTTGAGCAGAGTTCTCCCTCAGGGGTTCCCACACCCACACCCAACCAGGGTGAGTACAATGACTGCAGCGAGTCCATAGCAGCCACCTCCCTTGGGCTTTTAGCTCTTAGAGTGATGCCTCCCCTTTTCATTTCTCTTTCCACAGGTTTGTCTCGAAAAAAGTGTTTTATCACTTGACAGTTGACAGGCCTGTGATCTACGATGGAAGCGATTTCTTGTAGCCTCACGCACCTGGATTTTACTAGCGTCACTTCACCCATAGGAAACACTACTCTTCTTCACCTGACACATAAAGGACTTAAGAATAATAATAATAATAAAAGCAGCTGCTCCAAAGCCCTGGAAGAAAGGCCCGGCTGCTCCTCAGAGGCTGTGTTGTACAGGAGCACTGTGCACCCAGCACTAAGCACCCAGCACTCTTAACCCCTGGGGCTGTTAAGGGCTCGGCATTGTTTCCATTGAGTAGAGACCCAGCTGTCCTCACACCCAAGGGTTGCTTTGCCAAAGGTTAAACACACAGGAGACGATCAGCCTCTCCAGGGATGACAGTTGGTTACAGGCCTGTGGAGAGTTTTACAGGCCAGAGGTGAGCCCACCTCTACCCCCAGAAACAGATGCCCTGCTCTGCCCCATGCAGGGCCTGGCATCCTGGTGACCATGAGCCAAGACCCCTGGTCTTGGGCTGTGAGGCCCTCAGCTACTCCCAGGAAATAGAGGCCCAGGGCCATTGTTTGAGTCAGGGCCCTGAGGTGCCCTCCTAAAATCTCAACAAGACTCCTCCTGCGTGGTCTTCTCCCTCACTGCCCCAGTATTTGGAGATTGCTCCAAGCTGAGCAATTTTGGAGGAGCCTCTAAGTTGCGCTTTCCTCTTCACCCTTCCAACAAAGCCCTTCACAGCCCAGGCCTCACCACAGCTTGAAGCATCACCCAAAGAATCAGAACTGAAGATAATCCGAGAAACAAGATGCGGCTGAGGGTCTGCGGTGGCTGTGTGTGCACTACAACTAACACCCGAATACTGGCCATGTCGACACCACAACCAGGAAGCAGAATTGTGCACTGGCTTAGGGCTCAGTCCTCAGACTGTATCCTGTCCTTGTTTATATAAATAAGAGCTTCTGCTTCACCTGCAGACATGTGTTTACTAATAACCAGGGTGAGAACCACTTTCAAAAACCAGGGCCTTCTTAGCAGAAGTCTTTGGTAACTTAAGTACCACAGTAAACAGAGGCATGACTGAGTCTTGGTCCCCAACAGGCCACATGTCTAGTTGCTGCTGCTCAGAATGCACCTGACATCCAGGAGACATCTCCCCTTGAGGCAGAGGAAGCCTTTTCCTGGACAAAAATTAGAAAATTTTCTGTTTTCTGTGATCCTTTTCTCCTCCTACCACAGAGGGCCCACCTTTGATGTCCTCTTTGTCCCTTGTTCACAGAGCCAGCTGCCCACACTCAGACCCCAGGTACTTCCACAGGTGAGCAGAGCATCTGATGAAAGGGTCCTCTTTGGCCAGGGAGGAGGGAGAGAGCACTATACAGGTTGTGTGAGGATATGAGGGCTCAGCCCAGCTATGTCTCCAGCCAGCCCTGTGATCCAGACCCAGTCATACCTGAGAGCTTCACTATAGCATTCATGACCCTATTCTGTCCCGTTTTGAGGGCAGGAATGGGTCATGGACTCCAGTAAAGTCCAGCCCAGATCTCAAAACCACTGCAAACCTGCAGCCACAGCCTCACCACCAGCAAAAAGGACTCTCATGGGAGCATAAGGAAGAAGAGAGAAGTTGTGGAATGGACGCAGGAGAGTTGGACACTCCCAGTCAGCTTAAGCAGGGCATGAGAAGCGGTGTGCACAGAGCCTCTCAGTGAGGCCCAGAGAACAGCTGGACCTCTTGCATTGTCTTTCCATGGAGCAGCTCTTATCATCTTCTGGTCAAGGCCCTGGCTGTGCTTAGCACTGGAACAGAAAGTGGCCAGGCCCCCAGAAACTATCTAGCCTCATGTTTATCCTCACAGCCATGCCTCATAGCCTGGGATGATTCAAGAGCAAATTATCCTACCTTTGAATCCCCCATTTCGCAAAGGATAGTGAGAAGTCAGCTCGTTCAGTGTAAGAAAGAAACTAACAAAAGAGGACCCAGAGCAGTCTAGAGTCTTTATTCTGATGCTTAGCTTTCCCAGGATACCCTGCAGACTCTGGCCAAGCTGATGGCCTTCTGCTGGCATCATCGCCACCATGTGCAGTGAGAACCACCACTCAGTGAGTAGTTGATGTGTTTGGGGCCTGTGAAGGGCCTGAGATTCCATCAGAGATGCACTCTGAACATCTGTCACTCAGCACATCAGGGGACCAATGCAGCTTAAAAATAACCTGGCTCTTGGAAAACACCCCAGAACCTCTGTTCCAGGAGAGCTGAGGGGTTTTGGTGCGCCACCTCCAACAGTGACCACCCTGTACAAAAAAGGCCTTTCTGCATCCGGAGGACTGCCCGGTGCCCCAGTGGTCACTTCCTGACTCTGGCATCGCATATTTAAGTTTTGTGCTGGATGGACATTTGTACTTTATTTATTAGTTCGCTGTTCAAGCTCGAGATTGCTGTGCACTGTGCAGCTAGAGAATATCTTGGCCTATTTAAGTAAGGCTTTGATAAATAGCTTTAATCTTCTTCCTACCTTTACCGAGGATTAAGGACTGGGGTACCTTTAAAAAATGCAAATAGCAATTGAAGAACCACTGCTGAAGGGGGTAGCCTGCCTAGACTGAATTACACTAGAAATCAGCAAGATTGGGATCCCAGATCACTATTTTCTTTAAAAAAAAAAAAAAAAAAAAAAAAAAACAACCAGCCCCCTGATGGCCCAGCTCTCTGAATAACAGTCACATTTTAGTATCGATACTGGCTGCCTTGTTCACCACTGCCACTAAAGCCACCCATCACCTTCACCCAAGAACACACCAGCCTCTGTCTTACCCACAAACAAGAAAGTGTGTTTGGGGCACACTGGTATTTGTTCACCAGTCTGAGTGGACTCCACAGGGCACTCTCACTCAAGCACACTGGACTCCTGAGCAGGCAGACACTCACAAGAGGGAACCTGGGACCGAAACACTGCACAGGGTTTGGAAAGTAGAAAGAAAAAGCCACATGATACAACTAGAACAAGGGAGAGGGTGTTTCTGAACTTTGTCAATTGTCACCTACGGTGGTAAAGCCATTCCAGGCCCAAATGAACGGAAATCCCAGTTGGGGATGAAATCGCAGTCTGTATTTTATGGTTATTAGATGCCCACCGATACAATTTTAAAGGAGTTTCTTTTGTAAAAGTACACCTTGGCAATTCTACCTGTGAAAATTCTTTAGGCCAAGAAACCATCCTTGGCTCCAAGGTGTTGGGAATTAAAGCAGATGCCATCTGTGAAACATAAAACCAAGGATTAGTGTCAAATACATGAAGACACTTGAGATAGCCATTAATGTTTACAAAACACTTAATCCAAAAAGCGCTTCCTAGTGGAACCTTGGAAAGTTCTCATTTCATAGTGGTTCTTCCAAGGAAACAGGGAAGACTGAATTTACAATTCCCTTTGTCCTCATAAGCACTTTTAAAATAATAAAGTATATCTTTAAATCAGGGGGCATCTCTGATAAAAAGGCTTACTTAGAACCTTAGAACATGTGTTATCCAGAGATGCTCTGCCTCTGGTGGCTGCAGAGCAGCACCCAAGCTGCAGTTGGAAGGCTTAAAAATTGGAATTGCACTTTAATCCTCAATTCACGCGGCCTTACAGGACGGCAGGTCTGGGAACCCAATTCATTCTTATCTGCCAAAGAATTACTCAGAAGCACACTGAATAGCACCCTGTCTGCACAATGGGGGTGAGAAACTTTTGTATTCCAAAACATACTCTTTTATAGTATCTGCTATGCCATTTGGAAATATTTTATTTTTTAACCTCAAAATTTAAATAAACACTATGACATTGAGAGTAGCATTGCTTTCATTCCTTTGGGATGTGAGGTGAATGATGGAGTTTGCCAGGACCTGAGTTGGTCAGAGTTGAGCTACCCTGCTGGAAAATAAAGCCTCTTTTATGGCAGCTTTTCAAAGGGGCTCCAGCCAGTAGATGTTCTGAGAATTTGCCAAGTGGCCTGGCATCTGAATACTTATGGTCTGCTTTGAGGGTGGCCTTCAGACCTGCCTGATCCAATGCATCCTCCCATCTCACCCCCTACCATGGGAGTTCCTGCCCTCCACTCAGATGTCCCAGCTCTTCCCCCAGTATGCAGAGCAAAGAGCAGACTTCTGATTTACCAGATAATGGGGAAAGGGAGAAAAATAGTGGGCGGCCTGAGGCCACAATATGTTGTGCCACACTGGGCAGAACTGCCAAGCTGAGATAGCTGGCACCCCAAGGTGTATTGCTTTTTCTGGGTCAGCAAAGAGCTTGAACCCAGGCCCAGAAGGGCAGGACCCAGTCACCCCTGGGCTGGTACAGCCCACCCACACTCACCTCACCTCCCATTCAGGATGACTGGGCTCTGTCACTCCACTACCCCAGGCCTCAGAGAACACCTCCCAGCATCCCCTCCCTCCACTGCCCCTGCCCCCAGGTTTTTCTCTGGCCTCTTCTTTGATCAGTTATTCAGATGAGGAAGCCACGTTTTCTGTAACTGGTTCTCTCAAGGGCAAGGGATGGTGTCATATTCATTTGTTCTCCTTTCCCCTCTCCCCCCAGCATTGAGCAACATGCCAAGCAGGAAAAGCCTCAAAAAATAACTGATGAAGCCCAGGTCAGTTCCAATGCTAAAAAATCAATAATTCCATTGGCCAACTAACTGCCAGGGACAGAAGCTTCTAGAACATTGTCATTGCAGACAAAGGAAAGGGCCAGCCTATTGGGAGAAGACTTGAGGAGGATGGATGTGAGCTGGTCCTTTAGTCCTGCCCCTGCACCTCCTCTCATGTGAAAGACGCCCTTGAACCAAGGCTGTGGCCAGGGACCGGGTTGCAGTAATGGAAGATTGGTGTATCCAGTGTCCTAGACAACACAGCCAAAGGACATCTTTGTTAATACAACAGTCCTTGAGGCTTGGTGGCCACCTGGGCTGGAGGTGGGAACAAGAACAACTGAGATGCACATAGATGGGATCTGGGGGCCTCCGAGTCAGAATCCTCCATTCCCCCTCACCATGCCACTAACCGCAGAGTATCCCAGATGGCCAGAGTCAGCCCCAGGATTCCCAAGCCCCACATTTGATTCCAGGTCACCAACCCAGTCCAGGGACAGAGGTGCCCCACCCCCCTCTGCCACAGGCCAGGTGGGTGCTGAGGATGTAGAGACTCCTAGATGACTCAGAGGGCTACTCACAGCAAGGTCAGCCCTTTCAGTTTGAAGATGCGTGGGAAAAATCTCTCACCACCCACACGTATCTGAAAAGCAAAGCAAATAAATGGTGAAACCTGTTGCCCAGAATGAGAAAATGGACTTTTTTTTGAGGCAGCGGTTAAAACTGAAGCCATGAAAACCCAGGGGGAAAGCATAGCTATTGTGAAAGACATTCAAAGTGGGTTAGGGTTGACAGAAAGGTCAGCTTTTACTTTTCCCACCCCCGTGGGTTCTGATGAAGGACGGTGAAGCTGAGCAGAAGTGTGCTGGCCAACCTCTGGTCTTTGATGTGTGTCCCCTGGTGCCCCCAGCCCAGTCCTCCACGCTCTGTGGGAGGACAGAGACCTGTGTGGTTTCCTCACACCTCCCACTGTGTGCGCACTGAGGTTATCTCAGAGTTGGCAGCCTAGTCTGAAGCCTGGAATGAATTAAGTGTTTTTAGTGAAAGAAAAGAAATTAACAAAAAGAGACAGGCCCCACCAAACTGAAATGCAGGAGTGTCCTTACCAAAAGGAAGGTTCGTTTCTAGGCTAAGTTTGGCTTTGGGCCTGGAGGTTCACAGAGTGATTACAGAGAAGGTGACCTCAGGAGCACCTCCCCAGCTTTCTGATGCTGGCTGAGCTACAGAGAAGAGAAGGAAACCATTTCCAGGAGGTCAGAACATCTATCTTCCAGGTCAGTGGGGCGGGTGCTGTCTTCTTGGCATGAGAAAAGAACGCTGGTGAGGGAGAAGGGAGGTAGGGGTAACGGCCAGACAGCACAGGAGTGCTGAGAAGGGGAGGAGACGCCACCAGGGCCTTTCCAGAGGCTGCACCTGGGTGCTGGACACAGATCAGCTTAGCAGGAGCCATTTTTCTCGTCAGAAGAAAGGGACACTGGGAAGTGGCGGTGTGAGTGTGGCTGAAGCCAACCCCCACATTGGTGGAGGCAGAATTTTAATGTAAGCAAGACCTAGACCACTGATAGGACAGACACCAAAGTCAGTGGCTGCAGACATAGAAAGATAAGCCAGTTTGGTCCTGTCTCTGGGGTGACTGTGAAGCCCTGTATGCTTTCACAGAAAGGCCATAGGAGGGGAAGCACGAGAGACAGGGTCCATGTGTGGAACCAATGGTCTTCGAAAAGATAGCTCTTCTCCACCATCAGGGCCTTCAGATAACCGCTGGGTGGCTTCATAAAGAAGACCACGTGTTCTTCTGGAAGTGACCCTGTGGAAGGACAGGAAACTGAAATCAGTCCCACATCAGGCCTCCTGCCTCTTTGGCTATCAAAGGTTCAGGTGTGCAGGACTAGGAAAAACTCATCCAGGGCTCAGTTTTGTTCCAGAGTCAACTTGTCATTTATTAATTGTCAGTAACTACAAAGCCAGTCCCAGAGAGATTCCCAGAGGAGGGTTTTCTCACTTTGGTTACCTGATAAGGCCACCAGGTAAATTAAAATGCAGACTCTGCTGGAGCAGTGGCTCACCTCTGTAATCCTAGCACTCTGGGAGGCTGAGGCAGGTGGATTGCTTGAATTCAGGAGTTCCAGACCAGCCTGAGCAACAGTAAGAGCCCATTTCTACTAAAAATAGAAAAATAAGCTGGTGGTATGGCGGACACCTGTAGTCCCAGCTCCTAGAAAGGTGGAAGCAAGAGGATCTCTTGAGCCCAAGAGTTTGAGGTTGCTGTGAGGTATGATGCCATGGCACCCTACCCAGGGCACAGAGTGAGACTCTGTCTCCAGAAAAAAAAAAAAAAAACCATGCAGACCCATGGGCACCAGCCATGGCAACTCTGGCTCACAGGTGTGGTTCATTCACAGGCCTTCCAGGTGATGCTGGTGGAGGTGGTCCTTGGTGAACATTGCTGCCTTACCACTGCATTGGTTAGAACTTGAGGAAAGAGGTAAGCTGAACTAACTGATCTGTCCCCTAATTTTACTCTACCAGCAGCCTGTAGATCTTGGAACTAGACATTCATTCTCAACCCCCTGGCCTAAACCCTGCCCTGGAGGCAACAATGGGAATTTCATTCTTGGAGAAAAGGATATTTCTAAATAAGTCTCCTGGTTGAAACTATTCTACAAGTAAAATCTTTTTACAACTACAGTGTTTTTATGGTTTACATGGCCCCTGTCTCTCTGTTGCTAACTGGCAGATCATTTCTGGGCGGAAAAACATCCCTTCCCCAAATCCTAAGTAGTTCCACACATGTCCAAATTTTAAGAAATGGAGAAAAGCATAAGCTTGGTACCAGTAGTCATGGGTGGGGGAGGTGAGGTTTAACAGGAGTTGCTGAGGCGGTCCATTTTCAGAGTGAGGTTCAAAAGGTCTATAAACTTGCAAGGAAGAAAAATGACATCTTTCTCCTAACTGCTACCTAAAATTTAGGTCTCCCTTCAATCGTGAGCATACACAACATGTCACACTAGTATTATCAAGACCTGTGACTTCTTCGCCAATGGAAATGGCAGATGTTCTTT